GCGGTCCACCTGCGGTCCACCTGTCTCCCGCCGCCTGTACAGCTCCATTCTTTGACTTTTAGACGTGATGATGTAATTAAAGAGCTTTGAGAGTTTTTCTGTGATCGGGTTGAAGTTGTCGGAGATTATTCGGGGGACGATCTCGTGCAGAAATGTTTCTTTTGAAGCTTGTTAAAAGTTCCGAATCTCTTATTAGAAAGTGATGTACAAACACACTCAGGTAGTCGTTTAGATTCAAATAAATAATTTATGGTTGTTTGGCTGTTCGGTGTTTGAGTTCATAAATAAATTCTGGTTAATAAAAGAGGCAATTCAGTCAGACAGGTTTACACATTATTATTATTATTATAATATATTTAATACATATAAAGTCACATTTTAGGTTAGCTGCTGCTAGCAAAGTGCTATTTGGCTCCTTAGTGTTTTGCTAATCAGATGTAACTAGCTAACAGTATAGATTAGTGAGCTCGTCGGTTAAATGTGATTAACAAAACTTACCAATGTACAACAATCCTTAGCTAGCTATGGAAAACATGTGTTTCTGCTTATTGATCATCATTCGTCTTTAGGGCTGTTTGGACTGGAATAGTTTTTACTTCAAGATCATAAATAGTCATAAATTGAGCTGAGTTTATATTTAAAGAACTTTCACAATCTTCAATCAGGCAGCAACAAACATATCTAATAAATGTATTAATCATTGAATCAGTTACAATACTAAACGCAATATTCTATATAATAATAAATAATATTTCTATTAGTCTCGTATTTAAAAATAATTCATTTTTTTGTTTAAACCGGCATCAGTCCTAATCATACATATCAAATAAATAAAATTAAAAAATAAATAAATTTAACCCTTAAATTGCCAAGTTTTTTTCATGATGCAACTTAATTTTATTGTCTAAAAAAACACAATAAATGATTTATTTTCAATATACTAACTATATTATTACTACTTACGTGTCCTCTATCGGAAAAAGCTGATATTTCCCTCCATTTACCATATATGGTAAAATGACGTCATCAGGAAGGACAAACCTAAACACCACGAGCCTCAAATGAAGCAGAGAAATGAGAAGATGTTTTATAGTTTTTATTCCAGCAGGATCAAAAATAGTTTCAATCTGCACATTCTTAGGGACATGAACAGGTTTATTTTAGGTCACCTTGATAAAAGGATAATAAATCAACAACATGTATGAAAACACATTAATGCTGCAGGGTAACTTTAATAATAATAATAATAGTAATCTGATACAGTGACATAACCCAAGAATCACAATATTAAAGTAACTTGATTACTTTTGGATTCCCTCAACACCAAATATGCAAATAAAGAGAAAATATCAATATTATTGATGAATTCTATAAAACAGAACCATGTGTCCTGCTGATCATCTCTACTTTTACTAATCTGTAATCAGATTACTGTTTTTTGTTCTGTAACTGTAATGGATTACAGTTATCTTTTTCAGTATTCATCCAAACTCATTTCACTGAACTCTGCTGGAAATACTCGAGTTCAGGACCTGAATTCTTCCTGTGTGAGTTCATTGTGTGTTTATATCAGACGTCCAAACACTTTAATGTCCTTCAGTCTGTGAAACATTAATCATCTGACTGTGTTTACATTCCTGCAGCTTTATAGATCCAGATCCAGATCAGATCTCTGCTGGACACAACGAGCACTGTGAGAGTGTCTCTCATTCCTCTATTTTTCAGAATGTGTACAAAGCAAACAATCAATGGATCAATAATAATCACATTAATCCGAAATAATCTTTAATGGTTCAAAATGAGTTTAAGCGACTAAACAATAAAATCCTGCTTTTACATGAATGAGTCAGAATAATCCAACATCATGTTTAACTACAGTTTACTGTTTATACTCACTGACAACATCTTATTTTATCTTATTTTATCTTATCTTATTTTATTTTATGTTATGTTATTTGATCTTATCTTATTTTATTTTATGTTATGTTATTTGATCTTATCTTATTTTATCTTATTTAATTTAATTTGATCTTATTTTATTTTATTGCTCATGAATTATTTTAATACACAGAGTATTTTTTACAGTGTGGTATTTTATTGTCTATCCACTGCAGATAAACAATTAGGTTTATGGGGGTGATGGTTGAGGTTTTATTGGCCTCAGTGGATCAGGACTCGGTCTCATTACGTCCCACGTGGACCAGGTTCTGGTCTGAGGAGGATCAGCAGCTGACGTCTGTGAGGAGACTCTCAGGCGGAGCGTCGTCCTCTAATGAGGACGGATGAGGGATTCCTCCGCCACTTATAAACCGCTGCTGCTGCTGGAGGAGGACACAGACTGCAGGACCAGTATCACCAGGACCAGTATCACCAGGACCAGTATCACCAGGACCAGTAACAACAGGACCAGTATCACCAGGACCAGTATCACCAGGACCAGTATCAACTGTAAGTTTGTTGCTTTGTGTTTTCAGGACTTGGTTTCTTTCTCTGTAACAGTCTCAGCTGATGTTGAGTTTGCAGTTCGGGGCAGTCTGGGGTTCGGGCCGGTCTGAGGTTTGGGGCCCTCTAGTGGTCGTTAAAGGTTAAACAGAAGCAGAAAAGTCTGATTTAAGTCTGAAACCATTGAATCCTGATTAGTTTTCTGAACTCAGTGGTTGTTCGGTGTCAATGACAGCAGATTGATTGATTACCCATCAGGCCGAAGGAGATTAAATTATTTCAACTGTCTGTACTGTCGACTGAACTAAAGCTGCAGATACATCAGCTCTGATACTGTTCTCATAATAATAATAATTAATAATAAAACATTTATTTTAAACAGCACTTTAAAAGATACTTTACCTTTACATGGTGACAGCAGAGACAACCTCAATATAAAACCTACAGCAGATGTTATGTAAGCGGTCGGTTGTGACAGATGGATATTTATTAGTATATCGACCCAAATGGATCACTGTGTAAGAAAGACAAATTTCTGTTTAATGGAGAATTTAAATTATTCCATGTTTTAGCTTAATGAGCCGATATTGAGCTGTGTTTCTTAAATCTTAAGTGTCTCAGATTTTCCTACAAATAAATTTCAGAGAGAAAAACCTAAAACCTGAAGCAGGCCCACTGCCCCGAATGTTCTGGGGAGAAAAGGCTGTCTTTCGTGGTGCTCTTTGTTTGCACACACAAACTGTATCTAGTAGCCACGAATTAAATCAACAAAAGTATGAAAGAATTTTAACCCGTTGTCCCGAATTAATCCTAAAGGAACAAACTATTGTAGAGCCGAATTAGTATTTCAAGTGCTGGACGGGCCTCTATATATACAACGTTGCTGTAGGTTGCTGTATATGTTGCTGTAAATGTTGCTGTGTACGTTGCTGTATATGTTGCTGTAGGTTGCTGTAAATGTTGCTGTAGGTTGCTGTATATGTTGCTGTACGTTGCTGTATATGTTGCTGTAAATGTTGCTGTACATTGCTGTATACGTTGCTGTATGAGTTGCTGTAAATGTTGCTGTATACGTTGCTGTACGTTGCTGTATACGTTGCTGTACAGTTTCTCTCTGTGTGTTTAAGGAAACATGGGACGAGCACCTGAGCTCGACCTCAACACCTCCGTCTGGCCCCACCCCTGCATTAACGCCTCCTGTCAGCCTCCAATCAGAGCAGAGTGTCCGTACTGCGTGGCTCAACTGATCCTTATCGCCATGGTAACCACCTCCCTCAGTGCCGTCACCGTCATTGGCAACACGCTGGTGATCCTGTCCATCGTGGTTAACCGTCACCTGCGGACCGTCAACAACTACTTCCTGTTGAGCCTGGCGGTGGCTGACCTGATCATCGGCCTGGTCTCCATGAACCTGTACGCGCTCTACCTGCTGTGGGGCCACTGGCCCCTGGGGGCCACCGTCTGCGACATGTGGCTGGTTATGGACCACGTGGTGAGCAACGCCTCCGTCATGAACCTGCTGATCATCAGTCTGGATCGGTACCTCTGTATGACGCGGCCGCTCAGCTACCCAGCGTGGCGGACCGGCAGGATGGCCGGTCTGATGATCGGAGCCGCCTGGCTGCTGTCCTTCGTCCTCTGGGCCCCCGCCATCCTCAGCTGGCAGACCATCGGTGGCAAACGAGTCATCCTTGATGGAGAGTGTTACATCCAGCTCCTCGCCAGCCCTGCTGTCACTTTAGGGACGACTCTTTTGTCTTTTTACCTGCCGGCGCTCGTCATGATCATTCTGTACAGCCGCCTGTCCGCCGCCAGCCGCAGTCGACTGGGAGTGCTCCGGTCGGAGCGAGGCACGCTCAGAACATCCAGTCCGTCTGTGAAAGACTTTCTCTTGAAGCGCCGGAGCCTTGTCACCAGTGAACTCGGCTCAGACGTGTCTCTGAACCAATCAGACTCCAGCACTCCGAAGCCCAGAAGGAACCAGAAAGTGTCCAGAAGTCTCGGTGACACGTCAGAGCCGACAGACGGACTGGACGTCCTGAGCGTGCCTCGCTCCGACCGGAGCGCACTCAGTCAGTCAGAC